CAAATAAATTGTTTTTCAAGGTTGTGCTTGCCAAAATAGGCAGTTTCAGTTAACATTTATACAAGAGTAATTGAAACTTGAAGAATTCTAAAGTTTGTAATAACTACAAATCCAGTCAAAAGCCTGTGATTCGTGCCTTAACTACACAAGTTCAATGTTACTCAACAGCTGGATACAAGATTAACTTCAGTACTTGGTTTCCTTAGACTTTAAACTGTTTTGTTCTAAACAGGAGTCGGGAGAGACAAAGAGATGGACTTTGAGATAAGCATGCACAGAGAGCAAAATGTGCAGTGTCAGGTGACGCAATGCTGAAGCATCTCTCCAAGTCCACATGGGAATGTATCTACCTTAGTTCTTTAAATGAGATCTTACCCGGCAAAAATGCAGCCGACGTCTGAGATGAACCATTCAGCTGAGTTGAATCCCAGGATCCCCACACCATGGTAACGCTCCAGCCCCAACTTAAAGAAGAAACATTGTTTTTTTAGGAGCATGTTTCTTTAATGACGCAGCAGCACTGTGCCTCTATTACTCTTGACCTACATCTAATTAGTGCGAATGCTATTTATAGCATTCCACTATAGTTCTTCGAATCTTTATTCTTCCCCTTATTTCAGCCAATACTTTGGCTCTCAATAACTTCAGCATACTTTCATCTACAGAAACCATTCAAATATTAAACTATTCAGCCTGTTCAGCAATCGATGGGAAACCTTCAACTTTTTCAAAATATTTCATACTTTTTGAAATATTCAGCTTTTTAAACTATTTTTTTAACATTGAACTCAATGGGAGGAGCCTTCAAATCCTCTTTTACCTACACCTTGCGCCAAATGCTTCTCCTTCCACATACTTTCAGCTAAATTCAGCCACAAATGTTCACAGCATTCGCACGCAATTTCTGCAAGAAATGCATTTTCTAGTTTAAAAAGCGACTCTACCTTATGGGACACAAACATGTCCGTGAAACAAGAGATGTAACACAAGCTGTTAATTTCACACGCCCCAGTGTTATTTTTCAGCAGCCTGTTCTCACACAACGCAACATGCAGTGAGAGAGTGGGGAAACTCTGGGGTAGCCTACTGTTTACAACGCAGGTAAAAACTTCATGTGTACCACACAAATCCCCCTATTTAAACAATGACTTATAGTAGTTTAGTTAATAAATGTAGGACATACACAGGCCTAAGAGACACAAAAAATGTTCTGAAGGAGAGTGACAACATTCCAAAAGAATATGCCACTGCGCAAGTATTATTGATGTTTATTTTTTTGAATGTATGTATATCATGTCAAGTTGCAGTCAAACAAACCTTGAGGAAGCTTTTAGCTGCTGCACGGCACTGCTCGTAGTATTGCCTCCACGTCAGGGTCACCCACTGGCCATCTGTTTTGGAAACCAAGGCGGGACGATCCCCGTAATTTTCCACGGTCTCCATGAAGAGCTGATGGACGGTAATGGGGGTTTCTGAGGCCGGGCCCGAGCCCTCCATCCTCAGCCGCACCGCCTGGTCTCTGCTGGTGCTCCATAGCTGGTCTGCTGGGGCCAGAGCGGTCTGTGCTTTGGCCATCGACAGAGGAACTGCCCTGGGCTCTTCTGTATTGGGACAACATGTGAAGCTGTGTTTACCCGCCATTTGTTACAGGTTAAATACAGAAGACACCACACCGAGACACAGCCAGCTTCAGAGGAGTCAGGTGAGTGAGAGGACTGTGCACATCTCTGGACTGTGGGCTTTAACTCCTGAGGTGTCAGAGCAACACGATCTGCAAGCTGTGCAGTGGATGAGGAAACACATACTACCGGAGACTCAACAGGAATGTCAATGTCTACCTACCAATCAGGTTTGTGGAGAGGAAGTTTGACAAGAGCATCAAATAACACAGACATAATACTGCTGGAGGCTATATGCATATAGGCCCATACTTTCATATAGGCCCATATATGCATATAGGCCCATACTTTCTTATAGGCCCATATATGCATATAGGCCCATACTTTCTTATCTGCTTTCGATTTTTTGTACTTAATGATATATTTTCCTCAAAACTTTAGGATGATAGGGGTAGCCTATGATTAGTTTGCTCCTTTTGCTAAACCTTATTTTGTTCTTCTGCAAATCGTGAAAAAAACTGAACTTCAGTCTGGTTTTTAAGAATGCAAACTAATATGAATGAGAAGTAGAGGGAATTTGTGTAGATGTTCTTTTCACATTGTTATGTATGGGAGCTGTACTACAGCACACACACTCACATATAAACGTATAAACAGTATATACATTAGGGGTTTTGGTGATATATCGGTACTTTAACCTGTTAAACCCCAAGCCTGTTTTTCAGGTCTCAGGCTCGAAAATGAAAAAATAACTTCCCTTCTAAAGCAATGATAAACCTGTGAATTGGATGTAGAAGAGTCAGAATCAATATAGATGTTTATATAGAAGTAAATTCAGATTGAACATAGTAAAAAAATGTAAATTATAGTGTCCGTCCAAAAATAAACCATTACTTATAGTGAAAACCACCCTTGAATGATGGGATAGTAGACTAAAAGCTTTAGGAATCCAAACTATAACATATAATAAGTACCCTGTATCAAGATTGATGAAAAACAAGTGACATTTGACCTTTATAGAGAGGTTTAGCAAAAGAGTCATTTGGTTGGAAATTGGTGTATTTGCCTTTTCTCTGGAACCCATTGGTCGATTTTGATGATTGACATCTCTTTTGAACCGTTAGAGCCAATAGAATCGAAGGGGAATCTCCACATACACACACACGTTACCATTGAGAAATGAGAGCTATGCGAACGCAGTCGAAAGCTATGTTACGCTCTGAAATCTGAAAACTGAAAACTAGGTTTATTGCTGATGGATTATCAGAAATCATTTCAAAGTGACACAGACACATTGGATTAACCTATGGATTAACCTTCAGCAGCGTTTTTATCGTTTTAATGCCATTGAAGACAACTTTTGATCAGAAAACAACAAAGGTAAGACATATTGCCGTGTTGGCTACCTACTGTAATGCTACGTGGTGTGATGTCTGTGTTAGCTTCTCATGTCGCGAGTTCGGATCGGTCAGTAATGATACTAATACCTGTAGAATCTGTGGAATCTCAGTTTGCTAATCGATATCTTGTTTGTGCAGATACGATAAGTAATAAGGGTATTTTAACGTGAGTTCTGTGCTAAGTGTTTTAGCATTTTTTCGCTCAGGGCTAATTCAGAGCCTTTGTTATTACCCTTATGTTTCGTTTTGCTAAAAATTGTTAATATTGTCTGATAGCTGAGTTTCTTCCCGTTAAGTGGGTATGACACATTAATAGGTTTTTAAATGTTAAAAAGCCCTCAGATGCTGTTTCTTGCAGATGTTGCGATTGCAATTAACAGGTTAAAGGTTAATATTATGTAAAATATTCACATATAATGTTGTGTAAATCCTTACATTCAAATATGTGTGATTTATTGCCAAAAAAGACACTACGCACAATAAACAAAGTGTTTTGGACTGAAAGCATTGTTTTCTATATGTATATTATAAACATATACATATGATTACATTCATAAGTTTATGTATGTGTTAATATGTGCCTGCTAAATACATACATTTAGCAGAGCAGTGGTTTATATCCCTCCAATATGCACTGTACAAATTAAAGTAATGATTAATTTCTTCAAAGTACAATTTGAAACAAGTTTGGTCAATTTGTTCCCTCTTTATTGACAATCGTGGAATATCTGCCACAAAATAAACATTTGAATATTTGTCAAACTGTACATGGAGAAGCACAAATAAAAATGTATGCTTTAAAATTGCACTTGTGTTGGGAAAAATGTATCAACTTGATATTCTTATCTTAAATCAAATATTTCATCCAGTTTTTAGGGGGAATGTATACAGCTTTGCTAGATTGGAATGATCTCACAACATGAGAACGAAATTGGCGATTAATGCTGTAAAGTCTTTGAGTAGTAATCTTTATGAATCGCTGCTTCAAACATAGAAAAACATTCTGGCAAGCTTATGTCCAAGTGAGTTTCATCTCTCAGGCCACAGTGGAAGAACAAAAGTTCCTTAAAAAACTGTAAAAAATGATGAATGACACCATCCAGTGTTTTCCGTACAAGTTATCTGTATATGCCAACGGGAAATGGCAAGATTTGGCTCTGATTTGGATTATTTATTTACAAAAGGTGCATAGCTGCTTTGAGACCGTATGCACATTTAACAGCTTAAATAACAACTGAAGCTTATTTAAACATAGCAGCAAAAACACTTTTCTATTAAAAACACAATCAGATTTAAGATTGTTCCCCTTATATTAAAAATCTCTTTTGAAGGTTTAACATTCAGTTGAAAAGAGATTGATATACTTCTCAACATGACCTCTGTGCACAGTAGAACATTCATAAACATGCCTGAAGTTTCTCAGAACACCTATTCTCAGCATTATCTGTGCAATTACAGTCTACTACTTTTCCGTGGCCACTCCATACAATTTGTTAATTTTCTCCTGGTACATCTTCACAACAATGGGCCTCCTCAGTTTCATGGTGGGTCCTGCACAGACGGAAATTAGAAAAGAAAGGCAGGTTAATTCTGTTCTGCTCTTAAATCTCAAGGTAGAGGCACAAACATTTGATCCACTGCAGATTTGAAATGTTTGTGAGACATTTAATCACTGTCGAACAACCTTTCGTGGAATGTTGTCTGGCAGACAACACAATCACAGTACTTTCTATTATGACTTAACTTCAATTCCAAGCTGATTAAACCTGGTTGTCGCTGAAGTGAATACTTCCTTGATGACAGTGTTGTTTGTACCTTTGCCTAGGGTTGCATATCGTTGACTTTTTTACGATACCGATACCGATACCACTGAACCATACCGATACTCAACCGATACATACAGTATCGTGATACTTTCATGTTGCATAAGGGAAACATTTTATCATCCCGCAATTACTCCCATGAAGCGCTTTATGATATAGTTAACATGTCAAATGAATATTAAATTCAATTGTGGGACTTGGACCTTTTAGTACTGAACAAACAATGAAAAACACGTTATCTATGAAGAAAAAAGATTCTGCAATATCATTTATAACAACCATCAGGCGTGAATAGTACATCTTGTCAATGGAAAAAGAAAATAGCACCAGTATAATTAATATTCAACCTGAGATTCGACTGACCAGAGAACACATAAAGGATCATGAGATCTCGGCATTGCACATAAAACAAATAGCATCATTAAAATCAACATTTGCCTGATGAAAGAAAACAAATCCCATCACAGTTCAGTTTTGTGCATTCATCTTCAAGAAGATGAGCATATCTGCTTTCTCTGGATCCAAACGGGCCCTTTCACAGCGTAGGATATCACCTACTGAACTGAACACTCTCTCGCTTGGCACGCTGCTTCCCTGAACACAAAGGTATTTGGTTGCCATACGAGACATCATTGGTTGGAGGTTGGATGTGTTGCCACCTTTCCCAGAAATAAACTTCTTGCAGTGGTTACAGACCCCACCATTCAGACTGGCAGTCATATGCAGCCACACTTTAGATGTTCTAAAATGACTCGTTTGCGGAGTTTCACGGCGAAATTGACATCGTAATTCCGACGGTTTGGGCGCGAGTTTAAGGATATTACGCCTCACTTTTATAAAAAAAAAAAAAAAAGTATCAAAAACCGGATCTGATTTTGGTACGGTATACCGTAGCCGCCAGTAACCGGTATTTCGGTAATACCGGGAACCGGTATGCACCTCTACCTTTGCCCCAGTTTTAATAAAGTAACTCACCCAGTTCTCCTCCACCGATGGAGAAGTCTTGCTCCAGGATGACAAACTTCTGGATCTTCTGGGCGTTGGACGTTGCTCTGGCATTGACGCGCTCTATGCCCTCCTGAATGGCTGTGTAGATAGCTGGCTCCTTATTGGCTATGATCCCTGACACCGTGGTCACTGTGACGTCGTGCTGCTGGCAGAAACTCAAGGCCTCGGTGGTCAGTGCGTCTGTGGGATCGCCATTGTCGTCCACCACACACTGTGGAAAAAGAGAGGGGTCATTATTGTGTTTGTTTTATTTATTCAGTAGCTGTGACCCTGTGCAGGAGTGGAGGCCTGGTTACTTTGAGTGTGATCATGATGGAGAGGAACTTCAGCCTGTCTCCGATCAGCATGGCGTTGCTAATGATGGCCACCTCGGACTTCACTGAGTCCTCGATGAGCACGGGAGGGATGTTCTCTCCTCCGGCGGTGATGATCAGCTCTGGGAACGCAACATTGTCGTTTAACCATTCAGTTACCAACAAGTTCTTTTGATTGCTTTTAACTTGTATTGAAACACATTTATAATGTTTTTTTGTCTTTGCAAACACAGCTTACCCTTGATCCTTCCTGTGATGAAGAGGAAGTCATTCTTGTCGTGTCTTCCCAGATCTCCAGAGTGCAGCCAGCCGTCCTGGTCGAGGGCCTCTCTTGTTTTGTCCGGCATGTTCAGGTAGCCCATGAAGACGTGGCGACCCCAGAAACATATCTCTCCACTCCCGTCCTGATCAGGGTTCTCCAGCTTTGTCTTGGCGCCTGGCATCACCTTTCCACAGCTGGAGAGTCAAAAAATAAATAAACAACAAGCTCATTTTGACCTACCGTGACCAAATGTTGCACTACAACTGCACCCCTACTTTAACTTTTAAGTACATATAAATAATATATTACATTACATGTTACTTGTTAGATGCTTTTATCCAAAGCGACTTACATACTCAATACT